TTAAGTTTTTAAAACATTTATTAGATTCATAAACTATCCTGGATTTTTACCAAACTTGGACAGAAGCTACTTACAATCAAAAGATAGTATAGAGAGGAATATTTTTATTAATTTTTTTCCTCATTTTTGTTGAGCCTGCGATTAACAGCAAAAGTAGGCGAGACACTGGGTTCCGCGGTACCCTTACGAATTTTATAATGTACATAAGAATAAAGATGGGTGTTTGAAAAATGTCAAGCAGTCACTAAATTACTTTATTAGTTCAAAGATGTTAGCCCATAAAACATTTAAATGACATGAGAAATCAGCCTATAGTAAAAGAGTATTTCTGGTAATGGAAATGATATGGATCAAACGTATTATCTATAGGATTGTATGCAGAGTTTAGCAAAACTATGAAATCAAGCTTCCTTGAATATACAATTTTTCCTCAATCCATGAAAATTTGTACCCATGAAAACTAATTCATCCACAGTATCTAGACTACATTAAAATGTAAAGTTATTTTTGGTGGAGTTTTTATACGACCGCAAAAAACTTGTGTTCGTATAATGCTATCATGTTGTTCGTCGTCGTCCGAAGACACATTTGGTTTCCGGACAATAACTTTAGTTTAAGTGAATGGATCTCTATGAAATTTTACCAGAAGGTTCAACTATCACAAAAGGAAGGGTGGGATTGATTTAGGGGGTTATTGTACCAACAGTTTAGGAATGAGGGTCCAAAAACAAGCATTGTAGTTTCCAGACAATAACTTGGGTGTAGGTGTATGGGTCTCTCTGAAATTATACCACAAGGTTCCATATCGCAAAGGGAAGGCTGGGATTGAGGTTGGGGGTAATTGCCCCAAACGTTCAGGAATTAGGGACAAAAAAGGGGCCAAAAATAAGCATTATTCTAGTTTCTAGACAATAACTTATGTTTAAGTGTATGGATCTCTCTGAAATTGTACTACAAGGTTCCATACTACAAAGGGAAGGCTGGGATTGAGTTTGCGCGTAATTGCCACGAATGTTTAAAAATTAGGGTAAAAAAGGGGCCAAAAACAAGCATTTTCCTAGTTTCAAGACAATAACTTGTGTTATTGCAAACTCAATGAAAGTTTTCCACAGTGCCATCTCTATCTTGACCAGGTATTTAAACTTTTGTAAATTCACCTGTCCTATTGAATGAATACAATAGCTATTTTTCTCTGTGTAGTTTATTCACTGGGACCTTTAAATTTCTTCTAAGAGAAATCTATCACTCATTGATTAATTTACCTGAGTAAAAAAAATTTCTTATATATAGACAAAAATACTTTTATTATACTCATTAACTGCATGTGATGATGTAATCATTCAATATTAATAATATATTTTCATTCAGTTTAATATAAACATTGATTCAATCATAAAAAGTTGATTTCTAACAAAAGTTTTATCAATGTTCCTATTGAAATTTGATTTTTTTTTTGTTTAGTTATAGAATACATTTAAGAAGATCTTAATTTGAACATCATAATTTTCAAGTTTTTATTCATGTCAAACAAATTTTTTTTAAAAAGAACAATGTTGAAAGTTTTGTCAGAAATCAACTTTTTATGATTGACTTGGGACAGGCACATACATGCAGAATGTGGCGGGGTTAAACATGTTAGTGTTGATTTATGTTATATAATAATATATTTTCATTCAGTTTATTCATTGATTCAATCATAAAAAGTGAAAATATATTATTAATATTGAATGATTACATCATCACATGCAGTTAATGAGTATAAAAAAAGTATTTTTGTCTATATATAAGAATTTTTTTTTACTCAGGTAAATTAATCAATGAGTGATAGATTTCTCTTAGAAGAAATTTAAAGGTCCCAGTGAATAAACTACACAGAGAACAATAGCTATTGTATTCATTCAATAGGACAGGTGAATTTACAAAAGTTTAAATACCTGGTCAAGATAGAGATGGCACTGTGGAAAACTTTCATTGGGTTCGCAATAAAGTTTATGGAACAAGCGCTCTGAAATTGTACATTTTTCCTGAAAAGAAAATAATCTTCAAAATTTAAAAAAAAAATGGGGGGGGGGGGGGGGGGGGGGGTTGGGGGGTCAAAAAGTTTTGGGGAGGGGGATTTTCAAATTTTTTTTGGGGGTTCATATTTTTTTCTTCAAAATTTTTTTGGTAGGGATTTTTTTTTTATAATTTTTTTTTTTTCTCCCAAAAATTTTCAATTTTTACATTGATTATTTCTAATTTATATATAAAAGCAACAAATACTGATATGGCAGGAGATACACACCAAACAGGGTGCGTAAATTATTATATATAACAGGTTAACTAAGTATTGTGCAACAGCACAGTATTGCGCATTAGCAAGAAATCTTCAATTGAAAATAAATACAAATCTTTTAACTAATTTCAATAGGATTAAATTAAGTATTTAATTTTTGGGGGTTCTTACCTTGTATTACTATTTTGGAGATTGGGCCCCGTTTTTAAATTGGTCTACATTGAGGTCCAAAGGGTCCAAAATTAAGCTTTGTTTGATTTCATCAAAAACTGAATTATTGCAGCTCTATGATATGCTGAATCTTATTGTGCATATAGATTTTGTTATTTTGGGCCCTGTTTTCAAATTAGTCCATATTAAGGTTTGAAGGGTCCAAAATTAAACTTTGTTTGATTTCAATTAAAATTAAATTTTTGGTGTTTTTTTATATGCTGAATCTAACCATGTTGTTAGATTTTGGATATCAGACCATTCTAGGTAAATTAAACATCCCATTTCAAATTTTTAAGATCTTTGACGACATTTATTTTGTGTCAGAAACCTATATTATGTCAAAAATTTGATCACAATCCAAATTCAGACAGTATCAAGCTTGAATATTGTGTCCAAACTTGTCCCAACTGTTCAGGGTTCAACCTCTGTGGTCATATCAGGCTGCGCTAGGCAAAGCATTATATTTGTATATGTTTAACAGTTGAAAGGCTGATTTTTGTCTCGCCTTGACGGAGTCAAAAAGCGAGACATAGGGATGCTGTTTCTGGCGGCGGCGTCAACAATGTATTAGTTTGTGATTAGGTATAGTTTAAGGTGAACCACTAGTGGTTGGTCAATGATATTTGGTACGCAGTTGTATTAGCACTGGTACATCTCATTTCAATGGAGATTATTTGGCCCTGTCCCCTTAGTCATGGTCTATTGACTTTGAAACTTTTGCTTAGTTTACATGTATCAGTTTGTGATTAGGTCAGTTTATGGGGAACCACTAGTGGTAAGTCAATGATATTTTGCATGCAGTTGTATAAGTATTGGCATATCTCATTTCCATGGAGATTATTTGGCTCCGCCTCCTCAGTCATGGTCTATTGACTTTATAACTTTTGCTTAGTTTACATGTATAATTTGTGATTAGGTCAGTTCAAGGGGAACCATTAGTGGTAGGCCAATGTTAATTGGTATGCAATTGTATAAGCATTGGCATATCTAATTTCCATGGAGAATATTTGGTCCTGCCCCCTCAGTCATGGTCTATTGACTTTGAAACTTTTGCTAAGTTTACATCATCATGTATTAGTTTGTGATTAGATCAGTTTAAGATGAACCACTAACATTAAGTCAATGATATTTGGTATGCAAATTTATTGGCATTTGCAAGTCTTGTTTCCATGGAGATTATAAAGCCCCACCCCCTCATCATGGTTCATTGACTTTGAAACTTTTACATAAGATACAAGTCAATGTTTGTGTTTAGTAGGTTTGTTGATAGGGAACGACTTATGATAAGTCATGGTATTTGGCATGCAGTTGTATTAGCATTGGCACATCTCATTTCCATGGAGATTGTTTTGCCATACCTTCAGTCATGGTTCATTGACTTTGAATATTTGCATAACTTACATGTTAAAGTATTGCTATTTTAATTTCAACATTTGCATTATCAAAAGTACAAAAAGGCGAGACATATCTCTGTGTTAACAGTTTATTTTCTCTTGTGTCACAATCTATATGACCCAATCACGAAAACAAAAAGGGTGAAGGATACATGAGAGGCAAATTGTTAGTTTATGACTGCAGACTGATATGTTTTGACGTCAATAACAAGAGTATTAAGAACGATTGGAACCATTTTTGGCATTTTAAGATAAAGATTTCTGTTTTGACTTACATTATCGACCTGAAATGGAGTGTTGAAACCTCCTGTGTTGTAGATAGTTTTTAAAGGGCATACGATACAGAAAAGATCTATTGATTATTTTTCCTTAAAATTAAGACTCAAAGGTTTTGATATATACTTTTCTGATATGCCAACAAAAAAAAAATACCATTATGACTTATTTTTTGAGATATTTCAGTCTGAAATTTGCATGTTACATGTAAAAACACAAATTCATTTTTCAATTAATACTTTTCCAAAAAAAAAAAATACCACAACTTTCCAATGGAAAGAGAGATTTTAACCCAGTATTTTGCAAACTGTTCATAAATTTATTGCCCTCTAGGGCAAATGTAGGTTCAATGTGATATTTTTTATTATGAAATCATACAATTATTGGTAATATTAAACGCTATACGAATTACTGTCATATAGGAATTTTTTGATAATAAAAAAGTCAAGTCTTCATTGCCTCAAATTTTTGGATCTGCATTAGATGTACTAAATGTTTGTTTCCCATTGCAAATACTTTCAAGTTCATGTAACAAATTTAATGATGTAATTAATGATTTTTCTGTGGGTTTTGTATGCTTATACCATTTAAGCAACAGTGTAAAAACAAGGCTTTAAATTTGGATGTTTTTTCTGCCCTTGCTACTGTATGGTATGCCCTTACATGGTCTACATTTAATGTACTTATTTGTACTAAAAAAAAAAAAAAAAAAAATGGAAAAGGCGTTTTGAATCACTTTATCTGATTTCATTTACAAAAGATTTAATGATGCCACAGATGTCCTTGCAATAATGTATATGATAGTCTTTTCTGCAGTTTAATTGTATCCATCTTTTTTTCAGATATCTATCATCAACTGGATGAACATAGGTTGTTTTACATTCGCATGCTGTGTCAATATAAAAACAACAAAACAAAGTACAAAGGTCATACAGTAAGTCATTAATCTGATTTAAATACATGATACAAATTTCATGCTGAATCTTCGTTTCCCATAGTAAAAATATTATATTTCTCTGATTTACAGAAGTTAAAAGAAGATTGCTCTATTTTACATAAGCCATAAAAAGATATACAATCTTGATAGATAAATTTGCATTTAATTGCGGGTTTTTGTTTTCGTAGGATTTCATTTCTGTTGAAGTCGGGGTTATCAAAAATTTTACTGTTAACATGATATACAATATTATACTTGACATTCAAAATTTGAAATTGTGTAATACTTCGTTTTCATCGTTATCAGTATTTTCTACAGCTTCGAAACAACATTTGAAAGGATTTCTTATAAAGTTAACAAGTGAATTTGTTAAACAAGCCGAATTAATGGAGTACTTTTTCCTCGAGGGAAATCAGATGAATGCTTGTGTGATAACCTTTTAATGTTATTTTCAACAAACAAGAAACCTTTTATGTAAATAAGATTTGGCCGTTTTCAAGTTGGACAAAAACAGAAAAACTAATGTTTACTAAGATAAATTTGCTTAATTGTCGTCATTCGCGGTAAACATGCTAATTTAATTTCCAATTGTCGTCATTGTAATGTGCCCTGAAGAAGACATCCTCCATACTTGTCAAAATATTATATGATAAAAATACTGATACGTTTTATAGTGGCCTTTTTTATTAGAGTTGAACTTTCTGACCATCATAACAATTATACATGGGTTGCAGGAGCGTGGTAGTGTAAAATTTCAACCTTAAATCTTGTCCATGAAATGGTTTTTGATCAGCAGCTTCTAACATTTTGACCTGTAATTGACATATTGTCCTAGATATAGGACAGACAGGAATGAAATTTGATGTTTTGCAGATATTTAATGATAGAGATCAAATGACATTGCATGTAGAAGACCCAGTGTCTTTTAAGTGGGCCACTATGACAAGACAAACTGAAGAACATTCTAGTGTCCAATTTGACTACTGGTACTGATTATACAAAAATTTTGTCTAGCAAAGCAATTTTAAGGAGCCATGGGCTATACTACTGAACACTTGCTTTTTTCCATCCCTTTCATAATGGTTTGCACATACTGAACATGCATGAAATATTTGCCACTGTACGTGAAGCAACCAACAATCAGTCATAATGGTTTGATCAGTGTACAGTGGTGAGATGGGAGTATGTTTAGCAATTTCTAATCTTTCTACGATGTTTTCTATACTTAGGTCTTCATTGACCTCTGTTTCAACCAAATTTCAATTCTTCGACACTATTTTGGCATTGAGAAAAAAAGAGGTTATGACCTATATTTTCCACTTCAGTGATTTTGGTGAAAGATGAATTAATTTTATCTAAGCCATGAATGATGTTTGGTCACACAATGTTTAATTTTCTGCTTTTCTGATATGGAACCACTTAAACTTTGAGGTTCAACAAGGTAAACACTGACATCATAGATTTTTATACGACGTCGTATAATGATATGAAGTTGTCGTTGGCATTGTCCAAAGACACATTTGGTTTCTGGACAATAACTTTAGTTTAAGTGAATGGATCTCTAAGAAAATTTACAAGAAGGTCCAATACCACAAAAGAAAGGATGGGATTGATTTTGGGGTTACCAACAGTTTAGGAATTAGGGGCAAAAAACAAGCATTTTTGCAGATTCCGGACAATAATTTGTATGTAAGTGTATGGATATCTCTGAAATTGTACCACAAGGTTCCATATCACAAAGGGAAGGCTGGGATTGAGGTTGGGGGTAATTGCCCCAAACGTTCAGGAATTAGGTTAAAAAAGGGGCAAATAACAAGCATTTTTCTAGTTTCCAGACAATAACTTGTGTTAAAGTTTATGGAACTCTCTGAAATTATATATTATTATTTTTCCTGAAAATAAAATAATCCTAAAAATTTTTAAAAAAAAATTGGGGGGGAGGGGGATTTTTTTTCAAATTTTTATACGACCTCAAAAAAATTTTGTGGTCGTAAATTGGTATGACATTGGCGTTGTCGTCGTCGTTGACGGCGTCGTCGTTGTTGTCGTCCGAAGACACATTGTTTTTCGCACTGTAACTTTAGTTTAAATGAATGGATCTCTATGAAATTTTACCATAAGGTTCAATACCACAAAAGGAAGGTTGGGATTGATTTTGGGGGTTATGGTACCAACAGTTAAGGAATTGGGGGCCAAAAAGGGGCCAAAAATAAGCATTTTTGTAACTTCCAGACATAACTTGTGTGTTAGTGTATGGATCTCTCTGACATTGTACCACAAGGTTCCATATCACAAAGGGAATGCTGGGATTAATTTTGGGGGTAATTGCCTCAAATTTTAGGAATTAGGGGCCAAAAAAGGGGCAAAAAACAAGCATTTTTCTAGTTTCATGACAATAACTTGTGTGTTAGTGTATGGATCTTTCTGAAATTGTACTACAAGGTTCCATATCACAAAGGAAAAGCTGGAATTGAGTTTAAGGGTAATTGCCCTAAACGTTTAGGAATAAGAGGCCAAAAAGGGGCCAAAAATAGGCATTTTTCTAGTTTCCAGACAATAACTTGTGTTCAAGTGTATGGATCTCTCTGAAATTGTACTGCAAGGTACCATACCACAAAGGGAAGGCTGGGATTGTGTTTGGGGGTGATGAATCATAAGGGGGTTCAAAAAATTTGGGGGGGGGGGTTCCCTTTTTTTTCTTTAAAATTTTCCATTTTAAATTGGTTATTTCTGATTTATATATAAAAGCAAATAATAATGATATGGTTTGAATAGGTAAATTAAAAAATTTTAAGTTCTTAGACCACATTCATTCTGTGTCAGAAACCTATGCTGTGTCAAATATTTAATCACAATCCAAATTCAGTGCTGTATCAAGCTTGAATGTTGTGTCCATACTTGCCCCAACTGTTCAGGGTTCAACCTCTGCGGTCGTATCAAGCTGCACCCAGGGGAGTATTTTATTTATTGGGGGTTCATATTTTTTTCTTCAAATTTTTATTTGGGGGGGGGGGATTTTTTCAGGAATTGGGGGCAAAAAAGGGGCCAAAACAAGCATTTTTCTAGTTTCCAGACAATAACTTGTGTTTAAGTGTATGGATCTCTCAAAAATTGTACTACAAGGTTCCATACAACAAAGGGAAGGCTGGGATTGAGTTTTAGGGTAATTACTCCAAGGGGGGGGTCAGAAAGTTTGGGGGGATTTTTTTTTCCCAATTATTTTTGGGGGTTCATATATTTTTCTTGAAAATTTTTGAAATTTCAAATAATTGCACAGTATTGCCCAATAGCAAGAAATCTTCAATTGAAAATAAATACAAATCTTTAAACCAATTTCAATGGGATTAATTTAAAGTCTTTAATTTTGGGGGTTCTAACCTTGTATTACTGTTTTGGATATTGGGCCCCATTTTTAAATTGGTCTACATTGAGGTCAAAAGGGTCCAAAATTAAACTTTGTTTGATTTCATCAAAAACTGAATTATTGCGGCTGTATTATATGCTGAATCTTATTGTGCATTAAGATTTTTTATTTTGGGCCCTGTTTTCAAATGAGTCCATATTAAGGTTCAAAAGGGTCCAAAATTAAACTTTGTTTGATTTCAATTGAAATTAAATTTTTGGTGTTTTTTTATATGCTGAATCCAACCAAGTTGTTAGATTTTGGATATCAGACCATTCTAGGTAAATTAAATGTCCCATTTCAAAATTTTAAGATCTTTGACCACATTTATTTTCTGTCAGAAACCTATATTATGTCAAACATTTGATTACAATCCAAATTCAGACAGTATCAAGCTTGAATATTGTGTCCAAACTTGCCCCAACTGTTCAGGGTTAGACCTCTGCGGTCGTATCAGGCTGCACCCAGCGAAGCATTTTATCTATGTTATTACCGGTACAGCTGTAAATATTTTTTTTTAAAAAGTTTTTTTTTTTATACTGGAGGATATTTATAGAAGGACTTCAGAGATACTCCCTTCATTTAGGCACTCTGAGTAACAATTTCTCCTTCTGACCTAATACCAACCAAAAAAAGTAAACGCATATGTCTCATAGAAATATGATATGACTTTTAATTTTTTTAATTTGATAAAGTCAAACAATATAATAAGAGATTTTCAGGTGTGGTGCCTATCTTTACAATTTATTATACATATTACAACTAAATAAAATGTCTTCAATTACATCACTGTCAATAAAATTACATAATTTACAAAAAACAGAACATAAGTAAATCATGAATTTTACATATAAAACACAACCTATTGTACTTAAAATTAATCTTCTTACTAAACACAAATACATGTGCACCCTAGATGATTACCACCCTTGTGGACTATTGTCTCATGCAGGCACCTACTTTATAAACTTTACTATTATTAGAATTGGCCTGTGTTTTTTATGCGGAAATTCATGTGACTTACCTGGTAATAAATATATAATTAGAAGCTGTGAAAATGATTCACAGCTAAGTACGGAATCAACTGTTACTTCTATTAAAATTTGTATTTAGCTGTTTATTTTTTTTTGCATTTCCTGATTAATAAACCATTATAGTACATGTATACCTTTTTCTGTGACATTCGGAAGAAAAAAATGAAAAACAAAAATTTATAAATATCATGCGTAGGATGAACATTCTATAAATTGAATGTATATGGCCTACTAAATTGGTTGTCAAATCTTTGCATTTTCCTATAAATTTCCATAAATATACCAGTTGAGGGAGGTTTTTGTACATATATAAATCTATGCATGCCTCTAGGCAGAATTACGAGAGAGAGATGAGTGCAGTTACTAGTTACTTAATATTCACTTCATGTTACTATTATTCAAATAAATGCACTTATTTTTCTAAATCTGAATAGAAAGCTATGTATGCTTCAGGTTAAGTACATCTATATTCATTTATTTCTCAGTCATTATTTTTATTAATGTTTTCAACGTGTCAATGTTTATGAAAAAAAGTTTGTTTTGAACAATCGTCTCTTTGTTTTTCAGCTAGTTCAGTGGTCTGGAAGATTGAAAATGAGAAAGACTCACAAGGCCAATAACTTCGCTACAACGGGACTTTTATGTACATGTAAAGTGATGCAGACAAACTCAATTCTAGAAATAAAAATGGATGGCAATATGTTTATGAGCAGGCATGACCTCGGAATGACCTTTACCTTCTGTGATCCTAGGTAATTTACGTAAAAAAAAAGTTTATGACCTTTACACTTTACGATCCAAGATAATATTTTGCAATGTATTTTGAAAGGTTTAGGCAAACCTGTATCTCCATCATGTAGCCTATTGACAGGATGGTCCATCTAGAAGTTTCACTCAAGTTTTAAAGTCTCTGTTATCATTTAAGACTAGGGAAACTTATAAAATGAAGAACAGTAATAAAAAGTCCATTTTATTTCCATGTTATTACACTCCATGCAACTGAAGAGGGTATGATGTATTTAACCTATCGCCCACCATCACCTCATTGTGGCACAGATAATGCCTTCATTTTTTTTCCCAGATTATCTTCAGCATTATTTCACTTAATATTTAGAATTGAAATGTCTGAAGCATTTGCTTGAAATAAACTTAAAACTGACCACAAAAACTGCTCATATTATACATAACAAAACTACAGTTCCTGTTAAAAAGTCCAAAATCAGTTCTTGTGATTAACATCTTCTATAATGTGTTTTTATGCCCCCGCCATAGTGGGGAGGGCATTAAGTTTTACCCTTGTCCGTCTGTAGGTATGTACGTACGTACAAACGAACGTACGTCCCAAAATTGGTTTCCGTTCTCTAACTTTAGTTTACCTCAACCAAATGTTATGAAACTTATACACAATGCTTATTACCGAACAGATCAAGTTTGAATTTTGGTGGCGTCACTTTTACAGTTCTAGAGTTATGCCCCTTTAAAAATTGCCGAATTTTTTCGTTTCCGTTCTCTAATTTTTGTTAGAAATGTGACTGGAACACATTTCTTCATAGATATTTCAGAAGGCTTCAAATTTCTTAATTTTATTTCAATTCTTGGGACATAATTTTTTGTTTGACAAATGAAAAATTGATATTCAGAAATTTTTTTAATTTACAAATTAGGATTTACTTGATGTCAGAAACATTATATCATAGTTCCTGACTGATATATTATTACTTAAAAAGATACAGAGTTTTTACAACTACAAAGAATTTGACAATATTCTCTTATTTAAGATGAGAAATTGCTTAGGCTAAAAAGTACTGTTCTAATTCCTGCCTTCCCTACCTACTAATAAATTAATGCGTAATCTAACAAATATTATGGAATGTTTTGTTAAGCATTGAAAAAGTCCAGAAATTTTTTGTCAAGCACCATTATAATCCAGAATATATGCAGTCTATGTAAACCATTTTTCTAAAATAGAATTATTATCCCCCTACTCTTAAGTTTGAAGACTGTCTGCCCATTGGTCCATCCACTGATGTGTCCTCCCTTCTGTCAATCACTGTAAATCAGGGAACCCTGAAATTTTAGAGCAAACTTCATGTGAGCAATACTGACTGAAACAAGTGCTTGTATTTTCTTAGCCTTATAAAGATACTTTGGATTGGTTAATATTCGTGGTATACCAATTTTTGTAGATTTCGTTGGATACCAATTTTAGTTCAACAAGTTCAAAATATCTAAAGGTTTGTATGCAGACTTTGGCAAAACCAGGAAATTAAATAGCCACGAAAATTCAATTTTCCCTCAGTCCACAAAAATTAGTACCTACCAAAAATAGAAGTATCCACAGGAGATGATTGCATGTAGTTTACAAAATCATTCCCTTAAAAAACATATAACTCATTGGCTAAATGGATTTCACTGAATTTTTTAGGGTAATGTTCGTCTGAACTATTGACTGCAATACTATACAGTATGGGATTTGCTCATTGTTTAAGGCTGGATGCTGGCATGGGGAACTGTCTTTGTTTACATCCTTGTCCTTTGATGTATAGTTGTCTCCTTGGCAATCACACCACATATTGTTATTTTAATATGGAGATGTAAGGAGAAAACACTGGTTTAATGTATAGAAACAGAGTTGCTTCCCTTGAATTTCAAATGTTCATTTACTATGCAAGAGTGTATGAATTAAGAACTCTGGGCACATTACGATGATTACATCTAGTTTATGAATGGAACCAGGATGTACCATGCATGATTATATATCTCCTGTCGTTATTATGTAATAACTTTGCATATAAATTAATCAGGAAACCTGTCAATTGAGAATTATTGCTCATTAAATGACCTCTTTATTGCATGGTGTCGAGAGTTAATATATCTTTTTTCATGTCTCATTTTGGTCTTTCCAGAATAAATCCATCATGATCTGTAATTTAGTTGTGAGTTAGGTAAACAAGGTGTAAAAAGATGAAAGACATTGTAAAATGGGGGCAAAAAACTTTTAGTTTAGATATATTCTATGTCTATATTTAACTAGACTAAAAGTAAACAAAGATAACACTTTAAACAATGCTGCACTTGAATTCACCTCCTGTTTTTGGGGGGTTCATGTTGTCTTATCTGAAGTTTTCTGTTTTTGTTTTGTGGACTTTTGTTTGTCTTTTTATACCCCTTGATTTTTATACGACCGCAAAAAAATTTTGCGGTCGTATATTGGTATGACGTTGGCGTCGGCGTCTTCGTCGTCGTCGTCGTCGTCTTCGTCTTCGTCCGAAGACACATTGGTTTTCGCACTCTAACTTTATAGTTTAAGTTAATGGATCTCTATGAAATTTTACCATAAGGTTCAATACCACAAAAGGAAGGTTGGGATTGATTTTGGGGGTTATGGTACCATCAGTAAAGGAATAAGGGGCCAAAAATAAGCATTTTTGTAACTTCCAGACATAACTTGTGTGTTAGTGTATGGATCTCTCTGACATTGTACCACAAGGTTCCATATCACAAAGAGAATGCTGGGATTGATTTTGGGGGTAATTGCCTCAAGATTTTAGGAATTAGGGGCCAAAAAAGGGGCAAAAAACAAGCATTTACTAGTTTCATGACAATAACTTGTGTGTAAGTGTATGGATCTTTCTGAAATTGTACTACAAGGTTCCATATCACAAAGGGAAAGCTGGAATTGAGTTTTGGGGGTAATTGCCCAAAATGTTTAGGAATAAGGGGCCAAAAAGTGACCAAAAATAAGCATTTTTCTAGTTTCAGGAAAATAACATGTGTGTAAGTGTATGGATCTTTATAAAATTGTACTACAAGGTTCCATATCACAAAGGAAAAGCTGGAATTGAGTTTGGGGGTAATTGCCCAAAACGTTTAGGAATTTGGGACCAAAAAGGGGCCAAAAAACAAGCATTTTTCTTGTTTCCAGACAATAACTTGTGTGTAAGTGTATGGATCTCTCTGAAATTGTACTGCAAGGTACCATACCACAAAGGGAATGCTGGGATTGAGTTTGGGGGTAATTGCCTCTTAATTTTAGGAATTAGGGGCCAAAAAGGGGCAAAAAACAAGCATTTTTCTAGTTTCAGGACAATAACGTGTGTGTAAGTGTATGGATCTTTATGAAATTGTACTACAAGGTTCCATATCACAAAGGGAAAGCTGGGTTTGAGTTTGGGGGTAATTGCCCTAAACATTTAGGAATTTGGGGCCAAAAAGGGGCTAAAAAACAAGCATTTTTCTTGTCTCCAGACAATAACTTGTGTTCAAGTGTATGGATCTCTCTGAAATTGTACTTCTAGGTACCATACCACAAAGGGAAGGCTGGGATTGAGTTTGGGGGTGATGAATCATAAGTGGGTTCAAAAAATTTGGGAGGGGGGGGATTTTTTTTTCATTTTTTTTTCTTTAAAATTTTCCATTTTAAATTGGTTATTTCTGATTTATATATAAAAGCAAATAATAATGATATGGTTTGAATAGGTAAATTAAAAATTTATAAGTTCTTAGACCACATTCATTCTGTCTCAGAAACCTATGCTGTGTCAAATATTTAATCACAATCCAAATTCAGTGTGTATCAAGCTTGAATGTTGTGTCTATACTTGCCCCAACTGTTCAGGGTTCGACCTCTGCGGTCGTATCAAGCTGCGCCCAGCGGAGCATTTTATTATAATAGGTGGTATAGGGGTTTCAATTGGTTCATGTTTGTCCGTCTATTAGTCCTTCTGTTCATCTTTCTGTCTCTACTTCCATTTCACTATCAAGTGTTCCTAAAACCAGAATTTTGGGAAACTTTCACAGGTAACTCACAATATTTAATTTTAGTCCTTGTATGTCTTTTTTTTCACCCAAATGATTATTCTGTTTTACTTTGGCATAACACAGACTTTGTTTTATCAGCACACTTCAGTATATTGTACCTGCTTCTTCTCCTAAACCTCATATTAGAAATTTTTGAAACTTTATCAGAATCTTATCCATATAATGCCACTTTGACCTATTATTGATTTCTTTCATATGAATTAGTTTTGAGGTTTCCATAAAGAAATCATAGACTTTGCCATTGATGTGTGGGGCTGGGGTATCATTTGTTGAGCTTTGCTCAAAACAACTGTATGTTTAGGCATGTTTTTTATCAGTCATTCTTTTACTTATGTTTTTAGTTTCCCAATTTGTATCTTCCCCCCTTTTTCAGACAAGTTCCTGGTAAATCCCCTTGACATAAATTTATTAATTAAACGTAATAATACATTTGTCATACAGCTTTTGTATACAAGTCATAAATATCTTTGGACTAATTTACCTAAATAAAAGTACTGTTAGTACTGTAAATTATATGATTCCATGCACATTTCCATAGAATTAATTACATAATATATTTCAATTAAAAAAATTAGTTCGAATGACATATATTTATCCTAAACTTGTCTTGTTCCATGCTATAAATCCTATCTCTGTGTTACATGTCTCGTAAAAGTTCCCATTTTGTCTGTAATTTACATATTGAAATCTTGTTTGCATGCATTGATTGTCTATGACAAGTTCAAGGTTCAAGGTGCAAGCTTATTTAGTATTGCAGTTTGATGCATGTTTTATTCATAAGAAATTTTGCCTAGGGAAATATGATTGAAATAAATGTTGAGCGTAGGTTATTACTTGTTAATATTAATACCTAAATTTTAGGGAAAGAAATTCATGTCTCATAAATTTGATCGTAATTTGATAACAACAAACACAGTTGCCGTATTTTCCAATTTTGGCATTTATAATAGGCTGGATTTTACTCCTAATATTCAATTTGCCAGACAGGGGTGCTGATAATAGAATAATGCAAGCAAGAGATAATAGAAAAAGTTGATATTACAAAGTTTTTGTTTATGTTCTTCTATATAAAAGTAAGAAGATGTGGTATGATTGCCAATAAGACAACTCTCCACAAGAGACCGAATGACACAGAAATAAACAACTATAGGTCACCGTACGGCCTTCAACAATTAGCAAAGCCCATACTTAGTCAGCTATAAAAGGCCCCGAAATGACAAATGTAAAACAATTCAAACGAGAAAGTGGAAGCACTTCATTCTAAAAATGTGCATACAGACAACCCTTTTACAACCCTATAAAATTACTAAAAGAAGCATTCAATACTTATAATTACATTTTTTTGCAAGGATCATGAAAACACGATTTCTATCAAGTTTTTCTCTTATTTACCTGTGCACTTTATTGTGGAAGCTCATGTCATTATGAATGTTACATTTCATTTTGAAATGAAGGTTAATTTCAGAATGACGCGAGATTGCTGTTAGCCAATCAAAATAACGTATCATAATGAAACATACATATGTAATGTAATTATAACCAGTTATTTGTTTTGATTTAGTGTTTCAGTCTGCTGCAAGTGTTTTATTTTGGTAAAGTTTCTTAAAACATTCCTTCATGGAAAAGCATATGAGGATGTTATATAGATATGGATTATACAATACTTCTAACCATTGGACTGTTCTTTCATTCATTACAACAACTATTCTCAACCCTGCTCAAGGAATAGCAATTACACTTTTATTGATTTTAACTTTGAGATTTCCACTGGCAGGACATACTGCAAATGTTCAACTGCTGTTTGATATTTTATCATAATTTGATGCCACATATATTATTTTATTGTTTTATCATGTGATGACCCAGTTTAGAAACTAACTTAGTTGGCAATACAAATTGTTGTGGTTTCCTGCATAGCAATAACTGAACTGTAAATAGGGGTATATAACTAGCTGCTATGCCTAACTTGTCATTTAAGTTAAACAATTGCTTGGATATCAATTAATTTCATTGAGTTCTTTTCTTTGATATTTGTTATGTATCTATGGATATCAATGAAACTTATATGATATGGTTTTTTTTCTTTTATTTCATTTATATTTTCTGAATTCTTTTCTTATATATATCTCTTATTCATAAGTGTGAACTGTGGAAATAATTTATTTGATTTTCTTGTATAAAATGACCATTTATAATATATTGTTGACTAGGAACCTCAAAGTATGATGAACTCCTACTGACATTATCCATTAATGATAGAGTCAAATTTGAAAGGTATAATACAGACACCTTTATAAACACTTCTAATATTTTGAAGTTTTTTATTGTCAAAATTAGTTTCTAAATTGTGTCACCACATGATAAAACAATAAAATAACATGTGACATGAAAAACTCACCTGTGGATGTTTCCTTTTACCTGTTCATTACCTGAGCCGTGTCATCTAGTCTAGATAAGGTTAAGTTTAACATATAACACAGTCAGTCGTTTAAATCATTGGACTGAAGAAACTGTATTCACTACTTTTATTTTCACTAGAGAGCAGATATAATGATGCTAATAAGAGTAACATTTGATGTTAATTAGTTTGTGTATTGCAGGATTATTACCTTAATTGGATATGAGCCGAGTGAAGTTATAGGAAGGACAGCTTACCAATTCCACAATCCACTGGATGCTGAAAGAGTCAGGCTCTGTCATTCTAACTGTAAATATAAATTAAAACAAATGTTACACTGTCAGGGTGACCCTTTTGCATTACTCGTATTGCTTTTTTTAATGCTGTCAATATATTTTAAAATGAAAAAAAACAATCAGTTTCACTTTCTCCAAGTTTGTAAACTTTTGGAACTTTAATAAGACTTTTGTTTACACTAAAGCTCATTAAATTGCTGCTCAGAGCTTTTGGATACATTAAGTTCTTAAACAACAAGTTCAGAGCTTATTGTTTGACATAGCTGATAAACATACCGCTCAGAGCTTTATGTTACATTAAGCTTATAAATATACAGCTCAGAATGAATCTCTTAAGCTTACTGTTCAGAACTTTTTGTTACATTAAGCTCATTAACATACAACACTTAAATTGGGTAAAAATGTTTGCTTATTTCAAAGTTTCTATGAAATGTAATCTTTCCAAAGTGCAGAAATTATTTGTAGGTAAAAGCTAGGCTTGACTGCATGGATCTGCTGAACAATTTATATTCATAGACCAGATTCATAGGATGTTAGAAGGGGGTTGGGATGGAAGGGTAGGCTGCTAAGTACAAAGTTAGGGTATGGCTAAAGGCATCATCCGATACCTTTAAAATTTTAGATAAAACTTAGACAGGCCTGTGATTCTGAATTTGGTTATTGCTTGTCATCAGCAACCTTTTTAACGCTACATGTTTTAAAATTTTATTTTTATATTGGGCTGTCAAAACTGTTCCAATATTTATAGCTATATTACAAGTTTTAACCGAAAAATAACACTATACATTTTGTGTGTCTAAAGCAAATTTCTATATGTACCATCATTAAGAACGCTAAAACCTGAACATTTGAAAGGTAAGAATATATAAAAACTTAACTACTTTTGGAACTATATGACCAGAAGGGACCTAAAAAAATACACAAATTAGTTTAAGGTCAACTTTGCCAGAGGAATTTGGATTCTTAATTTCGTAATAATTTGTCAATTTATCAACATGTAAAATTTCTTTTAACAACTGAGTAATTTCAATTAACTGTAATAGATTTAACACTGATTACTTCCCTGTAATTTGCACTTTAATTTGGCATGAAAAATGGCATGATTCAGTGTATACACATATTTCATACATATCAGCTTTGAAAGACAGGCTATGACCAACATTTGAATACTTTGGCTTATTTTTCCCAATGCAGGTCAGGATTATCGGTACTTGTTTTATTAATTTATTACTTTCTGTTTATCTTACCAATGGAAGAACTATAAATTAGTTTTAAAAGTCTATTCTTCTTAAATTTAATGGTGGGAATGCAACATAAAAAAAAAAAAAAAATGAAATGAAACATGAACTAGTTTGTTTACAATATAAAATGAAAGTTTTATAATTTTGTCATAAACTTTTAATATATTATTGACTTAAATTGTATTTTTTTTCTAAATATGTATGTAAGTCAAAAAAAAAAAATTACAACAAGAATAATAAATTAATTTTTACTGAAAGTTATATAGGAGCACATATGAAAGCTTGACAGTTTGGAAAACATTGTAGAAGTAAAGGTTTTATATGATCATTGGATCCACTTTACTATAATTTTGCTCAAAAATACAGTTTTGCTTAGTTGTTTTTATATTAAATTTAAAAAGAAATATTAAATCTAAAAAGAAATAGTCACTTCAATTGGAATTTTGTCTAAAATATATCTAGTCAGTTTTGCTCTGGTAAGAACAAAATTTGCTTTAGTTGATTTTACTAGAGATTTACCTTAGTTCCACTGCAGTAATTTTCAGAAATAAAGCCAATTGTGGCAGAAACTTCTTGTTTTCCACTTTATTTAAGAAAAGCAAGAAATATGTTTATTTAGTTTTATTTGAGGAGTTCATGGAACATTTTTTTTTTTTTTTAAATTGTGTAAATTTAATCCTGGTCTCAATTCAGTTTGTCTTGTTTGATGTTAATAAGTGTTTTTGAAATACTTATTGCCCATTTAAACTGCCCTTATTTTTGTTCTGAATTCTATTCCCATGAGATAAAATAACAACACATTTTCAAAGTTTTTGGACTTAAAATTTTATTTTTTTTTTATCTGGTTTGTTCTGAAGATACTGTTTGCATAGTATGGTTATGAACAGGTATTGTAAGATTCACGTAGGATGATATCTTATGAACAGGTATTGTAAGATTCAGGTAGGATGATATCTATCAAAGCAATTCTTTTTCAAAAATATCTTACAGCTGAATGTTTATTTTGATGATTATTTGATAGGTCAAAACTTGACCCAAATTTGTATATTTGGTGTAAAATGATGTTTAGAGGCCAACTCTTACAATCACATACTGTAGGAACTTTCTCTAGAGGGACTAACCCTCATAAGGCCTCTCTAAAGAAAGGCGTCCCTTTTAGAAACATGTTTAATTGAATTATACATAAGATGAGTGTTTGTTTAGTAATTTGACCTCTTGCCTTTTACCATCTGTTTTATATAACCATGTTCCCTCTGCTTTTGTCAGTTGAAAAGGGGACTGTCAGAAATTAAACTATTAATATAAATACACACTAAGTAAAATTTAGGAGGCAATCTTCTGCTGCATGCTTTTTATTGGTGAAAGTAATAGGTTTAATAAAACAATAAATTATTTTGGTTGAGTGTTTTCGTTGGACAATTTAACAACATTGTAAACATTTGTATTTTGATTATGTAATGTAATAAATGAAAAAAAAATTAAGATAAAGTAGAACTTGTATTGAAAACTATGTAATAATATTATAATCTGGTTTGTCCTGAAGGAATCAGTTTTGTCTTGTTGTTTTTTGGGATAGTTCAGTGAACTTTTTATGTTTTAAATATAAATGTTGTCTTGTTTTTCTTATCTTATTTAGATATGAAAAACCTTATCCTAGAATTCGCATCTCATTTAATTTTTATGGTTAACCTCATGTTTTGACTTGAATCCTATTTTTGGTGGTTATAAATAAATTTATTTCCTTGATACCAGGATGTGCAATGATGTTGTATTCAAAATAAAGTTAAAGTTTGCGGTTTGATAGTAAAGGGTCTATGTGAAATGCACTTGTATAATAATAAGGAGATATGGTATGATTGCCAATGAGACAACTATCCACCCAAGTACAAGTGAAGTGGATGTAAGCAATTATAAGCAACCGTACTGCCTTCAACAATGACAAAAACCCATACCATATAGTTGGCAATTAAAGGGCCTGACATGAAAAATATGTCACAACTCATTGTTGAAGGCCGTACGGTTGCTTATAATTGCTTACATCCACTTCTTTTGAACTTTAATGGATAGTTGTCTCATTGCATTGGCAATCATACAACATCTCCTTATTTTTAAACCTATTGAAAATTGCATGGTTTCATTGAAGATGGTGGAAAATTTAGATGTATGCTAATTTTGACATCATTAAAAGAATGCTGATACAAAATTTTGAAACAAAACTACCAATTTCTTAACTTGTCATTGTTAAAGCTATAATAGTGACAGATACATTGTTATAATGGCCATTATAAATTCTAATTTGAAAATCAAGCTAGAAAAGCACAGCAGGGGTGTCACCAAATACCTCCATTTGAATGATTCAGATGTCGTATATTTTGACTTCATCATCTGATATCAAAATGGCTTTCAATTTTTTTTCAGTGCATTATGTCTTAATTCTCGAGTGTCGTTAAAATCATTATAAACAATATTTTAAAGCATTAGGAGCAAATTGGATGCTATGAAGGTATTATTAATTTATGCATAGGTACCATTTTTGAGAATTATTTCATGTTTCACATATAATCTTCGACACTAGTATAAATAACAATATGACTGCAAGAAAAAAAAGTTGATGTTCTTTTTGAAATTGAGTTTTGAAATTAAATCTTATACAAAATTGCTCTGACAGCCATTTTTGGGGACTTGATGTGGCCATGTACAGAAAGTCTCGAAAAATACAGCAATCTCAGAGGTCAGTTTTGCAGACTACCAACTTTCAAGATTCAATAAGCAACTCTATCTTTTTTGTATTAAATTGACAACCCTTGAAAAGAAATGTACCTTCCAAAGTTGTAAAAATGCAGAAGAAAATAAACATTGAAAAAAAAAGCCCCTGACTGATTTAGTGTCCTTAGCTTGTTGACATTTATATGTTATTGTACCATTTACTTTACGATTAAGTATGATGTTGTATTAAATATGATATACCTTTATACGTCGTAAATACCTTGACAAAATGGTGGTACTTCACCCACTAAATAGTTTGAAGTGAATTAGAAACAGACAACCATAACAAGCCCTTTAGGCAATTCATTTTCACACCTTTTGTTTTTACGAGAGACAAGTGTTGCGGCACAAAACGTTATATCAAATTATTATTAATTTGATTTATGTTTTTGCATTTTATATGTACGATTCATAGTCATGTCTATAACATTTCCTCTTGGGCTAAAAATAAAAGTTTCGCTGTTTTTATGAGTGTTAAAATATAGACAAAAAAATATCCAAAGATGCTTCAGGATTCAAATCTGCATAATGATGTGAGAGATGGTTAAGAGAAATATTGATCAAGGCCAGGGGGGTTGAGGTCATTAGTATTGCTGTACTTATTTAGACTTTAAACAAAAAATGCTATTTGAGGTTGAAGGTTACATGAATATTTGATGAATATAGGTTATATGAATAAATAATGAACTTTTTCAAATTTGAACTGCTGTGTCATGAAAGAAGTGTTAGTATAAAACTAAGAAGGTAAGGTTTGTCTGATTGCCAACGAGACAACTAAAGGACCGAGATGTAAGCTATAGGTCACAACATTGCCTTCAACAATAAGCAAACCCATACCATATTGTAAGCTACAAAAGGACCTTGGATAAAGTGAAACAATACAATAAAAGATAACCAACAGCCTTATTTCATTAGGCTTTATATAAACTGAAAAACAGTAATGGCTGACATCAAACAGCTAGTATGCACTAAAGGCTCCCTAGCTTGTTACGGGTCTCTTTTTTAATGATAATTGGTAGGTATAACAATTTAAAAACCAGGCGTTGTGAAAAATGAGAATTGTATAATTATTTAGTCCAAATAAAACTTTTTTCTATACAGGGACTATATGTGGAGAAAAAGACTTAAGAGCTGCATACAATGTGTTTGTTTGTTTGTGTTTGTTTGGTTGTTATTGTATTTTATTATCAATTTATTTTGAAAAAAGGGGGTGGAAGGGATCATTCTGTCTGTTCTGTCTTCAGTCTGTCTAAGAACCTTGTCAGTGGAAACTTTCTCAAGCACTGGTTTAGTGCATTTGAATTAAACTTGACATATTGAAAGTTTACCAGATGTTTTCATTGTTTAAGGGACAGGTTACTGTATATCTTGTGATCTAAGCTTCACAATACTTTAATTTGATCTTTATCCTCTTGTCTTGAAGAAAAATTGTTTGAATACATGATGAGACAGCTAATATAATAATGTACTATTTTGGTAAATTATAACTCTGTTGCCACAGGCTATAGGTTAAAATAGGTCATGGCTATAGCCTAAAAAGTTATCAAGTTATTATATGGCTAGAAGTCTAAGCCGTCAGCTATACTTGAAATTAAAAAATCTGTAATTATGTTAAATGAGTCATTTAAATTCCAAATATAGAAATTTTAAAAGTTCAAGTTTCTATTTTCGTCCTCAATGTTACTATTTTTATCAGATATAACAGGAATCCCCCCAGAGGTATTGAGATGATTTATCAGGTGTACAATAAAATGGAATGGTTTGACGGACATTAAGTACTAGTAGATAATATCAATCTAAACAAAAATCAAATTGTATTCTATTGTCCTTTCATTGGCCTGTCCTAAAATAAGGTCTTGTCCTGATATAAGGTTATAATTCAAGCTGGACAAAGTCAGAAGCTCTTTGTGATGAGTCTGTACTGGATTTTTGAATGAAAGATGAATGAAAATAGGAGGATATTCAGTATCTCTTTTCATGATTAAGTTTTCTCTCTCTCCTTTTATATAATAAAAAATGGATCAAATGTTGTATTGCTTGCATTTAATTATATTCTTTTTTTTATTAATGATAAGATGAAAAATACTGAAATAATTTTCATAATTAAATTATATTAAAAGTACCTTGTCCTTAATTAAGCCTATTTGAGAACTAATGTAACCCCTTAACAGACTTTTTTGCCTTTCATATATCTATAAGAAGTCTATTTTGGTGCAATTGTGTTGTTGGTTTGTTGTCTCATTGACATATATATATCCATCAATATGAACATAAGGGTCAGACAGGGTTAGATTTGGGTTAGTGGGTTAATTGTCAATAAATAGTCACTGAAGCAAGTACTATAGAGGGACTATCTTTTTGCTCCTGTTTTCACTTCATACAAAAGGTTAACAACACACATAATACACAAGTATTGCTAAAAAAAATATGCGAGACTTATAGATTATCGTAGGTCTTATAGATTATCGTAGGTCATCTCAATGAGATTGATTTTCTGGCTTGAGCCGGTACGGCAAAAGTGAGAAAAGCAATCGAGTTGAGATGACCAATGATAATCTGTTTATTGCTATTTTACCTATGATTACTGGTAATTTTATTGACAACGGCATGTGCGCCCTTAGTTTCTAGCGATCATTTTTCATATCACTCTACTGTGCTGAGAAAGGAAATTATCAGTCAGTAAGATCAAAGGAAAATTTCGTAAAATAGCGATAAAACAAAATATTTCTTCTTTTTACTTTTTTTTTATGCTTTTCAATTTTTTTTTCTTTCCTAATAAGGCCCAGCCGCCTCCACCAAAAGTATATTTTGCCAATTGTAATAGGGGAATCAACCATACAACTTCAAAAAGAACGTTGACTTTGAAGAGAAGAAAATTGAAATAATTATCTCTCTTTCAAAATTGATTAGTCTTCTTCTTTTTGGTAAATCAAAATGTGTCCATGAATAAGAAAGAAAAATCTAATGACAGTATTTGGTAAGAGTCTTCAATATGGATATTAAAAAAATTTGAAAACGTGCATTTTGAAATAGAATAGTTTAATGAAGAAATGATTTGGAATGGATGTACAAATCTGAGAAATACTTGACAGTTGCTGATAGGTTGATCTTCAGAGATTTCATATCCTAAAGAGGAAGATCTAGACAGCTCCTACTTAAACTTATGTCATACTTATTGATATTTTTGGATAAACGCTACATATATTTATGAATTGTTTTTAAAGGTCAGCATCTTCCTCTGTAAAAAGTTTTTATTCCGAATGAAATTGATTGTAACGATTCTTTAGTGTTTCTATCATCATTAAGATACTTGTTTTCCATTTACATTCCAAGTCGGAGACTTATGATGTCACATGTTTGAAAGAATTTGAATTCTAATCTTTTATTCGACAATTTCTACCATTGTGCAGTTTCCTAAATGTCAGACTTCAATATGTTTGCCAATCTATATTGTTCAATGTACCAAAAATAGAACAAGAGATAAAACTACCAACATATAAATTAATGGTGTGATGTTAGGTATTTCGTAATCATCATGAGTTTGTTTACAATTTATTCAGTAAAAGTGTATTACATATGGTCGATTTGGATTTAGTTTACGACTGATAAATATTTATAAGGATGATATAACTGTCACACGCTTGAGGTTAAGTTGCATAAAATGACATAAGTTTTACTTAAATACTAATTACTTAGCAATACACAGGTTATAAATTTATTTTTATTTCTATTCTGCAATTGCCTCATTTGTCAACATTCATCTTGGTTAAATGGATCTATTGTTATTTCAGGTAACATATTCAAAACAAAACACTTCAAATTTCTATACGTAAAATTCCAATTCTTCAGTGAATCTTTCTGTAAATTTTAAATGATTAGTTTATGGTATGTCATGAATAAAATGTTTGATGGTCCATGCTGGTGTCGTATGCAAAATGTCATATACATTTGAAGCACCCATGCCTCTTTGTACTTTTCATCTTATGATATATCCAAAATTTAATATGGGCCCCTTAATTAATTGGCAATAAATAACCAGCATATGTATTAAAATTGTCAAGGAGGACAAGCAATCTTTGTTCCAACTGGAATATTGTTTATATACACGATTCCAACTGGAATATTGTTTATATACACGATTCCAACGGGAATATTGTTTATATACACGATACAACTTTCCCAACTGTTACATTTTAATTTGACTTCTGTCGCTGTTATTCATCTTGACAGTTACTGAAAAAGGTTTCCTACTGCTCTGCATTCATTTATTTTTCGTGTCTACCATTTTTCTTTGAATGAGAAAAAATATTTAATTTTTTCGTGAATACTTCACATTTCCTTGTTTGGACAAATTCTATATGCATATAAGAAATTTCAATTTTGTTGAGTTTTTAGGTTCCCTTATACCTACTTAATCTATGAACATAAGTACCCCACAGAATTGTGAAGAATCCCCAGTATGACCTTAATATAAAAATTATGGGATGTGTTATGATTGCCAATGATACAACTATCCACCAAAGTTCAAATAAAGTGGATGTAAGCAATTATAGGCAACTGTACGGCCTTTAAGAATGGCACACTTTAGAAAGATCAAAATAGCCTAGGATTACTTGAGTTGTAGGATATACTGATACATTGTATTTGCTTTCAATTAATATTCTTAGAAGTTTTGTTGGCAGTAAAATCTGCTGCCAATTTCCTAGAAGTTGTACCTGCAAAATATAGGTACTACAAAAATGTTCTTGAAGTTGCACTTCAATAATCTCCTGTAGAAATCTTAAAAGTTTTATAATTGCAGTAATGAAACTGCTGCAAGTTTTTGAAGGTGTTGCAGTTATTCTTGAAATTGTACTGGCACTACAAACTGCTGCTAAAGTTTTTGTAATTGTACTTGCTGTATTTATTAATCAACAGCAAAAATAACTGGTAGGATCTTTATACTGTTACTGTGATGCATTGTCTTACAACACTGTAGTATTATTATATAGTTACCATATTATAACTACATACAAAGGAAACACTTAATTTGAAATGAAATCAGAAAAATTAATGATTATGCATAGAAGTTATACAATATTAGTGTTGTTAAGAAAAATAGAATTATTAACATTTTAAAATGCTGATGACATTTATGAGATTGAAATTCATAATTGCATTTTGTGCAGTTGTCTGTGACACTTCTTTCACAATTCTCTGTGACACTACTTTCATATGTAAAGTTTGTTTTTGCAATTCTTCGATGTCTAGCTGTCTCAATGACATGTGTCTTATTACTCCTCTTACTTCTATAAACAACTATTCATTTATTGACGAAAATAATACTTGCAAAAAATGTCTTCAAGCACACAGGACAGTGCTGTCCTGCGGTACTTAATTAGACATCCCTGGTAAATAAAATCTGACATTAGTAGACAGAGTATTAATTAGCAGTCAATATTTAGCCTCTAATTCAGAATATTAATTAGCACTTCATATTTAGCCTCTAAGCCCATTCATGATTGTCTTTTCATCAGTGACATTATGTTGTTCAAAAATTCAATCAGACCAAAAACTTTATTTAATAGATCAACAGCTTAAAAAAATATATAGTCAATCATTCCATTCCATTCTCCAAATCATACAACCAAAGTAAAAAATACATGACATTAGTTTCCCATCTTGAATACATTTCTTACTTTATTATTCAGTATCAAATATTTGTTCACAATTTGCAAAAAAAATAATCTACAAGTGCGCACACAGTATATATGTACTCATCTCTTAATAGCCTGGAGAAGTTTTATTATAATAGTATAACAAAAACATTTTTTTGATGTGTGTTGTTATTGTATATTTCAGTAATAGTTCAAGGTTCGTCAGTCAGCAAATATTACAGATTCGTTGGCAAGAATTGTGATTGGGTGTGGATGCAGACACGTGCTACGATTATTTATAATACAAACAACGTTCCACAGTACATTGTCTGTATGAATTACATTATAAGGTATGAGTTATATTTATGTGGGACAGATCTGATAAGTGTCATATTGTTCTGGTACAACAGTGACCGTAAGGGAAATGGCTTTCTCGTGATTTATTTACAAATTAAAAAGAAAATTGATGGACTGGTTATAACCAGGTGTTAATTAGTGGGTGGACAAATGCATACATTTTTGTTATGAATGCATTTAATGTATGCCACCTTTCTCTAAATTTAAAATTTGAAATGATAAAAAATTCAGAATTGTTTCAAATATGTAAGGAATATTAAAGTTTGATTATAGTTTTATTGACCAACTGTTTCTATATTGACCCTGGTAGCTGTATAAGCCCCTAGTCTCCAAGGGTCAAGGGTCAATACAGTTGAACAGGAATCTTTACTAGGGCCAATATAGAAACAGCCAGCTTCAAACACTTTTATCAAATAATTATTACTCTTCAAGTAAATTAAGAAACTTACTGTTAAGCAGGTACAGGAAATCATATTTACCCTTTCTTAATCACGATACATTTTTGTCAATATTGATGAGATTTCTAATTTTCAGTCTACATTAGTATTTAATTTATGCTAATTCAATTCATTTAATCTTGCAAGCATAAAATACCAGTTAAGAATAAATCAGACATTTGACCATTCTGTTTGTCTGTGTTCTAGTAGTTTTTGATTGATGGAAACGAAACAGTAGAGTTGATTGGAACTGCTACTCGGAATGGCTGCGTAATTTTCTATTTCAAATAGTTTCAATATTCAGAACTTAATTTAAGATTTTTCATGACATTTAAAGTAAAAAAGTATGCTAACTATATGCATCGAAGTAAGCCCAATGTTTGGTGAGACGTAAAAAGATCTGCAACCGAAAACCTGCTTCAGGGCAATTTGTTTTTTCTCATGTTTTCACACCTTTTTTTTGATGCTGTCATGTTACATTTTTAAAATCCAAACTTTTAGCATTGATTATGCATTAAAATGTTTACATAGAATCACATCAAAAACACCTACAACAACATAAAAAAGTTTTGTTACTGTTCCATTTTACATACATGAGTCAAGTGATTACGTTAGAAATCTATGCAGTGTTTGGATCAACAAAATGTTGTTTGCATGTGAGAGGGATTGGATGGGGTGATTTCTTTTCATTATTTAATTTTTTAGACCATTTTATTCCATCTTTTTTTTTTTTTTGATTCTCTTTATATTTCAGCACCCCATTATTCTATTCGTAATTTTTTTGCCTATTTTTCTCTATTTTTCTTTTTTTTTTGTTCCTTTATTCTTCACATTTTTCTCATTATTATCCATAATGTAAACCCCATCCAAACCCTCATGTAAAATTTAATCTCACAAGTAATGTCACCTTATCATAGGTTTTCAATAGGGTGAGGGGGTCAAAATAGAAAAGTGTGGTCAAATAGTTTTAAGTGGAAAATTGTTATAAAATCTTTCCACTTCGGTAAGTCTCCTGTGTAAAAATCTAGACAGGTGCATTGAGTAATGTCAGGTAATTTGACTCTTTTAACTTCCAAGATTTGACAGAGAATATCTTCAAATTCTCCTATTATGAGAGGGGGCTTGGTGGCTGATTTGTCTAAATATTGGAACTACTGTATCACTAGCTAGTCAACACTGAGACTGTGAGTTTGAATCCTGCACGTGGCAGGTGTGCTCGACTCCAATCTTAATTGACTAGGATTGTCAGTTTTCCTACTGAAGGTCTGTGGTTCTCTCCTTGCACTCTGTCTTCCTCCACCAATAAAAACTGAAATGGCACAATAATGTTGAAAGTGGTGTTAAACACCAACCAATCAAATCAAAGGATGTTGATGTCAAATTATACGTGTTGGCTTGAATTTATCTAAAGAAACTGATCAATTGCATGAAATAGACATGATTGTCTGAATGTCACAAAAGCCATGCTTAGAGTTTTAAAAAAAATGGGCATATCACTTTATAAATGTAAATGAGTCTGAAGTGCTTTTCTGGTTTAACTTTCATCATGAACACTCAAAGCTGAATGTTTAAATGCCAAGAATGTTTAAGAAATGAAACAGTTGAAGAGCTATAATCCAAAAAGGACTTTAAAATAATAGCCAAATCCTTCAAAGGTCAACTGTTGCAGGATTTTTTAGTATGATTCTATAGAGACACAAAGTTCAAATCATATATATACCGGTATATATATCTATAAAAAAACAAAATAGAAACACAAAGTTCAAATCATATTGAAAAACAAAAAAGGAACACAAGGTTCAAAATATATTGAAAAAAGGATAGAAAAAACACTAAGTTGAAATCATTTTGAAAACCAATCATAGAAAATGAAAAGTTTTTTTCTCCTCCATACAATGTGAATGGCATTTACCGACCATGCGAGACCCTCATGGGTAGTCAAGGTCATTAAACACCCCATAGTAGTGAACATCAGATACATCATATGGCTGTTGCACTAACCAATAAGAATCCTAACATTAAGTGAAATTCATACCTACTGTAAATTTAGGTTCTTGAGTTATAAGTACTTAATTTATTGTTTTTCCTAATTATAAAATACATTGTACTCCATTTCATGTCAGTGAACTGCATGACAAGTTCAGTACAGGTGTTTGACATAGTAGCAGTTTAAAGAGATTAAACCTTGCCATTAGTGACTCCTGCCATTTTTTTCTAGCCTTTTTTCAACTCCCATCATTATTATTCATGAGACTTGCTTTTGAGATGAAAGTGCTTATCTAGAAGTCATTGAAATGATTTGTTAAGGTCATTAGCTTAGGTCTTGTCAAGTATAAGTTTTTAAAGTCAGAAATTTGAACTTCTTGACTTTTTGATATAAAGTTTTTTAATTAGAAATGTTTTACGCTGCGAAAACTATCCCTATCCCCAAGTGCGTATAAATTTGACCTAAATTATATGACTGATCTTATATCATTCATTTTATGTTTATATCTTTGATATAGCCTGTTTGGTCTGATGAGGCATAAAATTCCAACAATCAATCAATTAATTAATCGTTGCAAATATTTTATTTAAACTTGAAAACTGTGGTTTTTTAAAGTCGCAAACACCTAAAATACACAAATTTACAAAACAGAAGCAGAGCAGAAAATCATGCATTAGTTGACCCAGTACAGGAAGCGAAACCAGTAAACTTTTGATTATTTAAATGTTAGGTGTGAATTTCTCACCATAACTTAAAAACCTTCCTTTGAGGTATCATGTCATGACATAAAATGTATATAATAGTAAAAAAAAGAAGATATTGGTTATACATCATAGAGACAGCAATGCAACAACACAACATCTAAAAGTCAGCATCCAGTCTGTAACAACAGACTGGTTTGTTTACAATATGTCGCTGTAAATTGCTCTGAGTCTATAAAAGGCTGTGAATAATTTTAACAAAGGTTTTGAAATATCATATATGAACACCAAATTACACAAATGAAAAAAAAACCAAATATTATATATGATGTAACAAAAGACTATATCTGAGATGCTGTTGTTGTTTCCAGCAAAATTAAGACAAAATTGGTTCTTTGGTGTCAATATAAAACCTTGTATGCCTCATAATTATGCTGTTAAGGGAGGGGCAGAGAGGGGGGGGGTTAGGAAGTGGAGGTCTATTTAGAACATGGGTTATGGTCATTTATAATTGTATGTCCATTTGATAAATGCAAAATTAAAAAAAATGAAAGTATGTAGGTTGTAGGGGGTTCACAAAGTCTGGCCCTACCCTCCCAGACTTCTAGATAAACTTTTAAATCTATTTCAACACTAAACTAAAACTTATAAGTACGTATCACTCATTTATATTCATAATTAGGTGATGTGGTCATAAGTAAGTGATGTGGATTGAGGTAAAGAAACTGAAATAATAAACAAAAATGTGAATGGGTGTATTTTCTTTGTCTCACTGACTATTTTGTGGCCTGAAAAGATGTTTTAAGGTTTTAATGCAGTTTCTGCTGTCTTAACCTTATTTCTTGATCTTATCTATAATTATCTTCAAGAAATGGTTGTCAAAATTCTGCGGATTCATTTAATTTCCATGGTTACCAACTTTCTTAGATTGAGGGTAAATTGGATTTCCCTAGATACAAGGTTTCATGGTTTTGCCAAAGTCTGTATACAAGTTTATTAAAAATTTGTAATAGACACTTGAAGTGGTTTATAAACCCAAGAAAGTCATGGGAATTAGTATACCCCATGAATAATAATGAATCTATAGTAGTCATAAAGGGACATATTTTAAAAAATTGCATAAAGCGAATTTACAATATTTGTGCCTGAAGTAAAATTTTATAGAAATTGAAAATTTTATGATAGTTTTATATCTAGGTCAATCATATGCAAATATATTCTTAATAGAAGGTCTGTTATATCTGTTTCATGTGTCAAAGAGCATTGTCTTAGACATTAATAAACAAAACAGATTTTGCTGGTACAATGCGGTGAAAGAGCTTAATGTCATTAGGTTGAAAAAACTTCTTTTGGGTTGGAATATATGCTTATATAAATAAGTGCATTTTCATCAATCATAGCAATTTAGACTACTGAACTTAATGATATGTAGTGTAGTAATTAGGCCACTAAAATTCTTATTTTGGCATGTCTTTAAATGCAGCCTTTGTCATTTATTTTATTAATTTTATTCAGAAATTGATTTAAATTTCTATTGCATAAAATAAAAAGTTCACTTTGAAATTGTACAGAAAACCTTTCAACAGAGGCCAGAAAAAAAAACAAACTCAAATATGCCCTAACAGAACTGATCAGTGTCTTAAGTGTATCATATGTGATTCTATTTTTAGTAACTAGTTCTGGAGTGGGGGTATTGCTGGGTTGTGTTTACTTATGAGTATATTTGTATTGAAAGAATTTCACTTGTGTTTAAAAAGCCAAAAATACTGGCATTGTTAAAACTTTCCTATTTTCTCATACAATTCATTCTATTTTCAGTGAAGAAGAGGGCGTTCGAGTATTAATGGAGGAGGACAAAGATTGTCTTAGTTGTACTGGAGTAATGGAAATATCCAGTAAACCTGTCAAAGTCAAAGATTCTTCAAAGGGAGATAACCCTGATCACCATAGTGACAATGGCTACCACAGTAGTTATAGCCCTTATTCTAGTATCAATCCCAGTCCATTGTCAGAAAGTTCAATGAGTCATAAACAGTTTGAATCTGATGATTGTGGAGTAGGTGATACAAACGATGACTTTCCAATGAGTGTTGTTCAGGAATGTGCTAGTTCGTTAGACCCAGATGGTGCTGACGATGAAGAAATGATAAAATTCATTGAAAGTTTGGATAGTGAAAGTGACATGGCCAAAAATATTCAACAGTTAGCTGAAAATGTTCAGTGGAATAGGGGGCATTCTTCGCAGGTAGCTTCCTCAAAAAAGAGATCTCTTCAAAGAATTAAATCCTGTCCACAAGTTTTGTCTCTACTTCCAATAAACGATAGTGACGTAGATGATCAACCAATTCAATTCACCTGTAGGCCGTCAGGAGGTGGATTCTTTCAAGACCCTGCAAATCAATTCGAGAGTAGCAATAATCCTGGCAATAACTTTGAAATTCCAAAACCAGGACTTTTAAACATTCAAATTGGATCATTTAATGATGGCAATCTCGTTGGCTCGTCAACTTTAACTGAATCATTACCAAAAGAGATCTCAGACTTCTGCATGCAATATGCTGAATCAATGGCAGACATTCAGTCACAAGATGTCATGATGCAGTATGGACATGACAGTTTATTTCCAGACTTGGAGGGTCTACATGATCACTCTGGTAGAATTGGTTGTCAATCAATGAACGGTAGCGGTATTGCATCACCTGGTAGTCAGCATTCCTTCGGAAGTCCACAACCACTTCAAAATACACAAACAGTGATATCTAATACACAAACTGTCATACCAAATTCACAAACAGTGATACCGAATTCACAAACAGTCATACCTAATTCACAAATAGTGATGATGAATGGACAAACAGTGTTGCCCAGTACTCACATAGTAATATCTAATACACAAACAGTGATGCCCAATACACAATCAGTACTGATCTCTCAGTCATTACAGCAGAATCCAAATTTAGTACAAAATACACAGTCAGTTTTACTGAACTCGCAACCAGTGTTGTCAAATACATCACAACAAATGTTCCAAACTAGTCCACAATATTTCAGTCGTAACTCAGACACTCCAAACTCGTATATCTCAGGCTCAAGTGTTATGAGCCCACCCCAAAGCTATTCAAATCTAAATAGCCCAATGTCAGTAGAATCAAACATTTCTAGCCCACAAGGGGACTTTTCAAACATACAAAGTCCAAACCCCCAAGCACATGCTTGTACAATTGGCCTTAATAACTTGACAATGAATTCGGTCCGATCCCCATCACATAACTACATGCCTCATGTGAATCCACCCCAAAACCAACAGAATTTTGTGGGCCATAGGATGAACGGCAACTTGGATAGAAGTATGTTGGTGAAAATGAACAGTGGAAATAATATGTCTCAAGCAAATATTGGGAATCACATAGTGAACAATCATGTGAAAACAAATGGCCATTCTTTGCTTCATAATGGCACCAGTCAACAGGTGTTGTCTAGAATGGCGCCGCCTGCAAATCAACAGAATTATCAGCAAAATAAAACACAAATTAATACTACTCAGATGGCTAGTGGCAGAAGTAGTAGTACTAGTGTTGGACCTCATTTTACAGCTAATAATCCTTCAAAGGGTTTACGTAATGTTAAGTCCATGTCGGAACTTGAAAAAATGCTTAGAGGATATTCTCCACCATTTTTACAGGACAAACAAAATGGATCTGGTTCTGCAGAATCCAGTTGTACACTTCTACAGCAGATGCTAACTGGAAAGTTATCAGGGGAAAAATACATCGCAATGGAAAAGCAAAGACAATTAAACGGTGGAGTTAGAACTTCCCATAAATAAAAAGAAAAATGAAAACCTTTGTAAATACACATATCATATAGATATATTTATATACACATTATATTCATATACATGAAATGTTACCATATGTATGTATACCCATGTAAAACCATTCCATGCATTGAAATTATTTTATTAATTTGTTCATATTTTTTCTCTATTGTTTGATTAGCTTCAGGGAATTATAACATGGTTATCTGGTCAAATTCAGATTTTATTTATATGAATTTTTCATAGATAAGAATTTTATTTAGGGAAATGAACAGCATTCACATTCAATTATTTGCAATAAGAAACCCCAAAAATGTTCTCTAACTTTAATACCAAGGGCAGATAATAAAGTACCATCCTATATGTTACAATAAACCATTAGATTTTATGGGCACATTCATTTTATGAAGATAACATGGTATTCAGAATTAAGAGTATGGCTAATCCTGATTGGTCATTATGAGCACCCGTTATTTTTTATTATTAGAGACTTAGTACACTCTGCATTATACCAAAGGCAAATTAATATATTTTCCTTAGCCCTAACGGAGCTGATATGTCTATTCAACGGTAGGATGAGACACATGTTTTTAAGTGCAAAATTGATAGGCAAGGGAGATAAGTACAAATTACATTAAGAAAAGCAACGGGAACCTATATTTTTTGGACCAAAAAATACTGTCCAAATAATTTTTCTTTAATTCTAGCAAGGTTTCGTTAAAAAAATTAACTTTCTAAAGTCTGTATCTCAAAAAAGGCTATCAATGTCGCCTATGGGGAAATTAATTGTTTATTGCAATCTTTGGATGAAGGTCCAAAGGGAGTGAATTTGAATTATCTCCCCTAGGTTACATTTTAAAGGATGTTATTAAAACAGACTTATTTGTTAACAGCACCTTTGCATTAAGTTAAGCAAAGTGGCCTTATGGCAAGGTGGAGAAATGACAATGCCATCTCATTTTGAAAAAGAAGATTACCTGTGTAAACAAATTTTATTTTATTAGATAAAAAAATTGTTTTTGTTGATGAACACAAAACAACTATTTCACAGACACTCTTAATTTGTAAAATTTTTACATTACCGGTAGTAAGGATTTTGTCATTTTAAAGGAAATTGTGTATTTATCTGTTTTCATTTTGACTCTCATTTTGAATTTACCGAAAAAAATTTAAGAATGAAAATTAATAAAATTGTTTTGAATTTTCATTTATTAAAATAACATTCAAATTACCTAAATATTATAAAATACAGGCTTTCATTACTGATACAGCTAGTGATTTGTTTGTTTATTTTTCCTTTTTTACATTAAAATATAAGGTTTGGTTGGAGAAGTTGAAAACTGAATAATTGGTTAAATTCAAAATAAGTTGTTTATTTGATTAAGGCATGTAACAAAAGCCTGGTAAAACTGGTTTTAAATGAACTATGCTTTAACCAGAAAGCTGTGTACACTGAGACCAGACCATTAATATTTTTCACTAAATTAACCTTTTAAACTGAATACCTGTTTAATCTGAACAAAATCTTAAGTTTAAATGTGTTTTAAAACCATATTTAATAATCTTTTACAGGATAGAAACTTCCATGCCCTTCTTACCTTTCTAAACTTATTTTTGATGAAAATTTTAATGAATTTATTATGCTGTTACACCTAAATATAGAAATGATATATATTTGTTATACATTTACAACTAAATTTGGAAATGAATTGTGTTGTTAAAAGATACACAAACCTTGAACATTTTTTATACAAACTTGTGTAGTTGACATCATCCGTCATGCAGGCCTTATTTGTTTCCATAAAAAGATTAAATATTTATGTGAATGAAAATTGTGTATGAACATATGTATGAACATATTTCAAACATGTTAGTGCTATCAAAGTGGATAAATATTTTATTTAATATTTATTTCACAAAAAGTAAATGTTCAATCCAATTTTTTTTCTTGTTTTTTTTTTTTGTAATGAAAACCTTTACAGAAAAAAAGATGGTTGAACACACAGTAAATGATTACTGTGGATTCATTTTTATTCGTTGGGTACCAATTTTCGTGGATTTCGTGGGTACAGGTAAACCACGAATTTAAATGTTCAACGAATTACACATTTTCAATAAGTTTGTATGCAGACTTTTGCAAATCCACTATATCAAATATCCACGAAAATGCAAGTTTTTCTCAATCTATGAAAATTGGTACCCTCGAAAATTTATGAATCCACAGTATGTCAATTTTAATTTTCTTTCAATTACATTTAAGTTATTTACGTTCTTGGCTTATGCATCAGGCTATGTTTTTTTTTATAGAAGAAATTTCATGCTTAGGAGCATGCTCAGTTTGACATCTATGTAATAAATGCACCTTTTCCCCAAAAAATTCACTGCAATATTCATTTAAGATATGACATTTTCTTCATAGTTCTGTTTCACATGATTTGAAATTTATTATGAAAAGGCCTGTTGTAAATTTTGCAATATTCTCTCATTTCAAAACTGCTGAGTCAATTTTGTACTTGGTACATTAAAAATACAATGTTACATGAATTAAACTGCTTCTTATACACCTTATCGCTATTTGTCCGCCATTACTGGACATCACAAAAGTTCCCGTATAATTTTGACGTCATAAAAGAAAATATCTGACGCCACAATGGAAAAGTGATTGTTGTATGACGTCAAAAGTTCAAGCGGGACAGATTCTCGGGTCAAGCGGGACAGATTTCCAAATAGCGATAAGGTGTATTGAATACAATAAACTTGATGTGTTTGTATTAAATATGTACGATGTTGATTTTATTATGAACCTGCATGGCATTAAACTTTTTATGCTAATCCAAAATCCAAGTCGGCTGCCATTTTAGCATAGATTTTTAATAGAACTTTATGAGTAGTGTTACATTTTTGTATCATTTTACTGGTCAACATGGTCAATTGTAAATCATACAAAACATACTGGTTTGACATGTTTGAAACAAACCCACTTTCTCCTCTAATTCTGCATGTGGATTTTTTTTGTTAAACCTATTGTGTTAGAATTATAGCAGAAATTGTTTTTGGTTTATATAAATGAATGACATATGACATTGTATGATAAGATCCACTATTTGGAAGCTGAAATTGCAAAAATAGCAAAATTCTATGAAAATTGAAAAATTTGACCTGAAATAATCATTTTACATTTTATCAATTCAAAAAAAAAAAAAAATGTTCAACAGACTTGTCAATTAAAATATTTTCTTCTCATCACTTTCTTTTACAATAAATATAATTTTGGAAAAAGCTGTTGCTAAATGCTAAATTTTATTGGCAAGATCTCATTATGATGATATTTTGGTAGTTATTGCATTTTTCTAATGTCTTTTTGAAGGCTTTTAGCAGATATGTAAGACAAATTTTTAAGAATGTAGACACCGATATCTGACAGACTGGTGTTTTGTGAACATCTGAAGAATTGGTTTGATAGATTTATAATACTTCTCATTTTCGAATTCATGATACCAAAATGTATGGGCTTATCATATGGTCTGCTTCAATATTAGCCAGAAAGCATTAACATTTTTGTATTAACCTAATTGCAAAATGAAAATTACACATTATAAATTTGTTGCTTCGGAAGGTCTTTTTTTCTGCAAAAATAACAGTATTTTTTCATACCCATATTGATTCAAATGATGTAATGATCTTGCCCAGAACATGATATATATTTTGCTTTGTTTTAACATTGACTGTGATATTGTTTATGGAAATTTGTATATATATTTTTTAAGTTGTATGCATTGCATTAGCTATTTCCAGGACACATTTAGTACTATTTACATTCTATATTTGATACTATTATCAAGAACACAATTGTGATTTGCAAGTGCTTTTCCTAGAAGAAGAGATACATTGAATTATTTTTCAAAAGAGAAAACATATTGAGTAAATTGTTTAAACTATCTCCTCACTGAATTTTCTATATTTTTGTCTCATTTTTGGGGGGAGGGTTGGTTAGGGATTGAACATTTTCATGAATCTAAAAATCATGGAAGAAAATTCATCCTGTTTAGTACTTTTCTTGCAAATTTTTTCACCAGGGGAAAATAAGAAATAGTTCAATTTATTATGGGGTTTACAGATTTGTTAACAGAGGGTAATACAACATTGTAATTACTTTATCAACTTATAAGGGGACCGAATTCTATCAGTCAGAAAAATCATATAACTTATATTATATAGAGTTATCCCCCTTTTGAACAAATTTTTTAGTCATAAAGTTAAAAATCTGCTGGCTGACTCCATAAAGTTTCTTCTGTTTTCCATTTATCCATAATTTTTTTTTCGCTTTATCAATGCAAAGTTGATCATTGTTTCTCAGTCAGTCAGATTGTTTCAGATGATTAAGAAGCTTTCTAAATTTGGTCTACATTAATTATCTTGATGTTTAGGCATGATCACATTTTGGACTTTTAAGTTCCCTTTGTATAATTAAACATTAATATATACATATACCAGTTTGCTCACATGCAGTCATAGATATATATATGTATGTATGTCTTTTTGCTTTACATTTATGTGAAAAATTGTCACTTTATGATGGCAATTAGCACGTTTTTGTCCTGAAATAATCTTGTTTTATAATAGGAAATCTCAGTTGTAAAATTCACAGAATTCATTAATATTATGAAGAAAAGAGGTTTTGTCTATTTAAAGTAAAATCTCACATGTATAACTTAATGCTTACATGTAATATATTGCCAACAATCAGTTTTTCATCGAATATTTTTTAAATCGTATTTCTCATGCTCTCTCTAAAGTGATTACCTTTTTTTTTTTATGTTTTCTCTTTCACAGCAGTTAAGGTAGTTTTCGTATTTGAGTTTCCTACTTGGCATGTTTTCTATATGACCCCCTGTCTATCTTGTACTGTATTCGTTGATATTTTCATTTGGGAGTTGTATTCTCTTATTATAAGATCACGTAAAATGCACAAAAATATCTCCCCACACAAATAGTTTTTAGGAATCAACAGTTTTGATGTGAAGGGCAAACATTATTGCTTGATACTTGAAATATCGTAGACTCAAAAAGTTTATGCATTCAAATCGTGAAAATACCAACATGTGAAAATCATTCATGCGAATAGTATTTATTTGCAATATATTCTTTACAATATTTGTTTTTTTTACATATACATATGAATACAAAGGTCACAAGTAGGTGACATTTCAAGGCATGGTATAGGCAACAGGTTATTTTTTGTAGGATGAAAGTGATTTGTAACAAACCCTCTGTCCATGACATTGGTCAAGTTTGATTGTATAGGGGTAACCATTGTATTCTTGCAATTACAAATGTCATGTGACTGGCTTGAATGTTATCGTTTTTCAAAACAAGCCTAAAGAATTTTAGACATGATAAATAATACATTCTCAAGACTTTCAGCCTAGTAGGTTGAATTTACCTCTACAACAGGATGTAAATATGGTAAATTTGTTATTATATATTAAAATTCAAAAACATATATTATTTATACCATAAAAGTGCATGGTATTTGATTTACATTATAGGACAAAAATTAAATTTATTTACTTTTCTACTGCTGTTGACAAGCTGCTTCGACCAAAGTTTACAAACTTCCAATAACTGTAATTACACATCAAACTCTTCATTTGCATATTATAATCATTATGTCCCTCATTATTTTGAATGAATTGCTGTGCATTTCTGTATGCTTAACACAGTATTTTTTGTTATTTTTTTGTATGTTAAACAAGTTATTTTCACAATTAGATAAATACCAATGAGATCTGCAAACATAAAACCATCTGTAAAAAATATATCTTCAAGATTTGTATGTCATATGTAACTGCATATTTGTTAATTATGATAATTTTTATGTCAGATCACTAAAGTATTATGTTGATATTTAACTTGACAATATGATACTTCATGGTCAGAATATTGTATATTTTAAACCACCTTGTTATGTGTGATAATGAATCATTTAATGATATTAAAAAGATCAAAAGTTAGTTTTGTTCTTTAAAACAGAGAGGCAAAAGCAAAAAACAAATGAACATTATACAAAACACAATATAGAAAACTAAAGGCTGAGCGACTCGAACCCCACCAAAAACTGGGGGTGATCTCATGTTGAGTTAAGATTGCTGAATGATTGTTTATTGCTTGCCTAAAATCCAGTGGGAAATATTCCATGCATTTTCAAGATGAGAAGAAATTAACAGTTAAATCAATAAGAAGAATATGCAAAAGTGGGTCAACTGGAATGAACGGCAGGAAATTTGGACTGCCACTAGCAAATTAGAGTATCTAGGAAAATGCTCTAAATTTTGTCTTGCAAACACAAACAGTCCACATATGTGACTAATAGTGTTTTCGACCATGTTAAGGGTACCCCAAAACTTGTCATATTCAATATACCCTCAACATAAAATGCAAAGGTTAATAGCGACAAGACACCAGCAGATGGTGCATGGACCCTTACCCTTTCAATTGTGTAAATATAAGAAAAATTAAACATGAGGAAAATTTTGGGGTTACCCAGGCCTACCTCCTTAAAGACTTGTTGCTAGAGTACACTAACCTACCAAAAGCATTGAACATACAACAAGCCACAAATTGGATGTACCCATTCTAACCAGACATGGGGATATATTTAAAGATGCAGACAGCCAGTGATGTATAGGAAATGGCAACTGCTACATTTTAGCCATTGGAATTTAAAAGATGAAAACAAGACATTATAAATTCCATGCGTCCAAAGAGCCTTTCTGGATTTCATTTCATCAGGAATGCTCAAAGCCGAATATTTGAACACCAAGGATGTTTAAGAAACAAAACACATAGAGCTTTATGACCAAAATTTACGTAAACAATAATATCCAAATTCAAATTACCATTGTTACCTGTAAGTGTTTCAATTACCATGCATCTTTAAGATAACGTCAGGAAATTAGGATCCCCAAAGCAACAGTATATAATTCCTAGGTTGATAATCTTTTAGTTAAAGTGATATATACTACTGTTACCTCCTATTTATTACTGAATAATATATATAAAAATGATTATAATGATGTTGTTATATTGGGGAACAGTTAACATTTTTAGATCATAGATCATTGCAGTGTTTGGTGGGGTTCGCGTTGCTTATTCTTTAGTTTTGTGTGTTGTGTTTTTAGACAGTTGTTTGTCTTTTCTCGATATTCGTTTTTTTTTGCCATGGGGTTGTCAGTTTGTCTTCGACTTATGAGTTTGAATATTCATTTGGTCTCTTTTGCCTCTCTTTAATTGCCCGAACTCAATTTCAAGTTGTTAACTATACTATCAAAGATCGTGTAATGTAGAATTAGGTGTCCCAGTCTAATTTATAAAGTCCTTTTATAAAACGCTGATTCTAACACGACCTACGACTTTCTAAAGTTAAATGTATTTTGAGAGAGCTGTTAAAAAACTTAACTGTGCTTGAATAACTAGTCAGTTCCAGGCGACACCATCCGAACAAATGTAAGTTATTCGGTAATTGCAGGCTTAAAATACCTTTTAACAATTTTTTTTGTAATTTTTCGTTTAATTAAACTTAAGATTGCAACTCCCTGGGTAAATTGTTGTTCCATTTAGGCTCATTTTGGTTTTAATGCTCACACATTTGTTAAATAATAATGTTTATTATATACTAAGTAGTAAATACAGATAAATTGTATGTGTAATACGATCAATGGCAATCATGCTGTATCAGCCATCCGTGATGATATCGATATCAGTCACGGTTGCAAAGGCTTTATCACATCCCTAATCTGTATGACGTCACGTCATCGATATCAGTAACGCCGGTTGCAAAGGCTCTCAAATCCCAAAATCTGTATTAAGGCCTGTTTTTTTTTATACTCAAACTAGTTACTGGTTAAAATCAACCTGAAACATGTTTTAGCTTTTAAACCATAAACATGTTAAAAGGGAGA